TTTTATTTTATTTTATTTTATTTTATTTTATTTGTTTCTGTGGTTGAATCATGATGTTTGTCCTCACTTGTGGGATGTTTAGAAATAATTTCCTTCAAAAGTATCTTCTCACTTCCAATGAAGTTTTTTGAACACTTCCTTTTTTCTTTATCCATGCTTAGTCAGAAGTCAAACTCCTGTTCCAAACACACAGACTGTTAAAATGTAGAATAGGAAAGTGCCACCCCAGGTTTTCAGAGAAACCTCACCTTTGCACCATGTGCAGATTGTTAATCTAATTCAGTTTCCAGCACATGACCTGACTGATACTTGATTACCTTAGTCAAGAGACTCTGTAGTCTGGAACTAGTTAATCTGAAGTTAAACAACGTCTCAGAAAGCAGTTGGATTAGTGTGGATTAAGTTAGACCAGATTAGTTTAGTCCTGGTTTTATTTAAGCCCTGACTGTGAAACTGGCCCAAAGAGTTAAGAGTTAATTTAAATGTTAGAGCAGAGAAAACCTCTAAAACACAGGGTAGACCAGAACTGAGCATCACTGATCTATTTCAATCAAACAGATTGAAAAAAGGAAAATAACCTGGAAACCCAAGTGTGTCATGACAATGATATCCAGTGAGAGTGTGTAAACATTCTTACACAACTGATAGATTATTTTAGTATTAATGAGGGATTATCTTAACATACTGTGTTACATAATGGTATTTATGGCTGTCAGATACAGTTTGTATTTAACATTTCAACCACTAGATGGTCTCATATTCAAAGGATGGACTTCAACTGTTTTAATACATCACTATGTCCATGAGACTTTTTGACCAATGTTTGGGACTGTGTAGCATTTCCAACAGTCAATCCCCGTGACACGTTTAGAGAAATCCTGTCAGATCGTAATGCAGCTGAACTTTAGGACAATCAATATTTAGTGGCGTCTATCAGAGGCTCGGAGCAGCAGCAGCCTCTGCTCAGGCTTTCATCTCATTATTTAATTAAATCCTCRACCAACCAGGATGAGTCCTCCTGTCTGCTGAGTAAACTCATCTGAGACTCTGACCTCAGGCCTGCTGAYGCTGACACACAGACACACACACACACAAACACACCTGGAGATTAGCTTAAAAAATGTAAAATATCAGGAGCTCTACATTATTCTTCAAATATAAAAGGAACTAATGTTTTCCAGAAGTCCACAGCTCGTCTTTGCAGTGACTTTCTGTAGCTTTGACCAGAACCAACGAGGTTTGTTACCAGGACATAAAACAACAGAAATACATGGTATTTGGTCGGACGAGTTTATTTAAAGTAGTGCAACTTTTCATACTTTCGTGGTAATKTATTTTAGGTGGCGCAGCTTTTATACGATTTACGGTAATTGTTTTAGGCTGCACAGTTTTCCCTGTAATTAAAATATGCAATTTTAAAGTGGCACAGTTTTTCTACATTGTACAGTGATTTATTTTAAGCTGCATGCCTTTTATACGATTTATGGCAGTTTTGTTTCAGGCAACTTTTTGACCATTACGCTAATTCATTTTAGGCTGCAACGCTTTTCCTTTGCGTAAAAGAATTTATTTAAGGGTGCATTTTTTTTTTTTACTGTTTTACGCTAACCCATTTTTAGGCACAGTTCTATAATTTATGGTAACTCGTTTGATGCTGCACAGCTTTTATACAATTTACTATACATTTTTTCAGATTATGCAGCTTTTCACAYTTTACGGTAACTCGTTTTAAGCTGCAGCGTTTCCTGTATTTGCAATAATTTATTTTAGACAGCAATTTCTTGTATTTATGGTGACTCTTTTTAAAGTGGCACGATTTTTCTACATTTTATGGTAACTCATTTTACGCTACACAGCTTTTTCACAATTTACAGTAATTCTGTTCCAGGCTGTGCAGCTTTTTGCACTTTACGGTAATTAGTTTTGAGTTGCACTGCTTTTCCTGTATTTACAATTWTTTAGTTTAGACAGTGYAGTTTTTCTTTTATTTATAGCAACTCGTTTCAGATGGGCACAGATTTTTTTTTACATATTACAGTGACTGATTTTATGCAGCATGGCTTTTCACATTTTTACAATAAGCTAATTCATTTTAGGTGACACAGCTTTTCTGGCATTACTGACAGTTCACACAAGTTGCCGGTAAGATAGAGGCCGAAAAAACAGGGTAACTAACAAAAACTATCATGGTTGTAACTGAAAGAGAAATTATATGTATACAGTATATA